GGTGCCTCCTCGGCGCGGGGCGCAGGCCGGGGCCTGGCGCCGCCCGGGCCCCGCTCCCGCTTCTCCCGGGCCGCCCGCAGCTTGGAGATGCTCAGCTTGAGGTCGAGCGGCTCGTCCAGCGAATGCATGGTGCCGGYGGTGCTGCGCTGCGGGTGCAAGCAGAGGCAAGAGCTGGGTAAGTGGCACTGTGCCGAACGCCCCCGTGGGCACCGGGCCCCAGGAGCCTTCGCCTCGGGGCACCTGGCCATGCCGGACACTGTCCTCCCCAAGCGGGCATGACGGCCGGGTCAGGGAGCTGCAGAGCCCCGGCTCCATCCCCAAGCTCAGGGCCCCACTGCCCGTGTCACCACCCCCCAGGCCAGCGTGGCCCCCGGTGATTACCAAATCCCCCACTGGGCACTGCCAAATCTGCCACGCTGGAGGAGCCCCCGGCAGTGCCACCGAGGCGCCAGCAGCCACACGGCCCCTCGGGCGCTGCACGGAGCGGGTGGCCCCCCAGGAGTGAGGARGGCGCCACCAACCGTCCCTCCCGCGGTCCCCAGGGCTGGGGCGGGTGCCAGGCCCTCGCTGTAACCCGAGCGCCGGCCCCGCCGCCAGCCCCTGCCCGCGGGCGGAAGGGCCCTGTGGCCGCCGAGCGGGACGGGTTTCCTCTCCCCTCCCGGCYGGGGCCCCTCTCCCCGCGGTGCCAACGCGGCCGCCGGCCAGGGCCAGCGGGGGCTGCCGACAGCGCCGCGCAGAACGGTGCAGAACGGTGCAGAATGGTGCTGAACGGTACAGCATGGTGCAGCATGGTATAGCACAGTAGAGCATGGTATAGCACGATGCAGAACAGTACAGCATGGTGCAGCAGGGTGCATCACGGCGCAGAACGGTGTAGCACGGTGCAGCACCGTACAGAATGGTGCAGCATGGTATAGCACACTGCAGCATGGTGCAGAACAGTGCAGCAAGGTGCAGCATGGTGCGGCACAGTGCAGAACAGTACAGCATGGCGCGGCACAGTGCAGAAYGGTGCAGCATGGCACAGYGTTGTGCAGCATGGCACAGCAYGGTGCAGCACAGCACAGCCACGGCCGCCTCTCCTCAGATCGCCCAGGACGTGGGGTGCCCGCAGCCCCTCACTGGGGTGCATCTCTGACCCTGGGGGCTGCCCAGCTGCTCTGCAGAAACCCACAGGCTCTGGCTGCTCGTGCCCACCTCAGCCCCCTGCAAGAACAGGCACAGGGGCYGCCTGCCCAGCTCCCTTCCCCACTGCAGCTCCACCAGGAGGCAGCTGAGAACAGGGAACTCACTGCAGCAGTGAGTGCCCAGGAGCGGGGCAGGAGYCCAGCAGGCAGTGGGCACAGGGGAGGCCCCGCGGTGCCCAGGACGCTGCAGCGCAGTGCGGGGCGGGCGGCCGGGCTGCAGGCCAGCCTGGGCAGCAGGGGCTCGCGCTGGCGCAGGGACACGGTGTTGGGGCGGGCGCTGGTCCCCATGGGGCCTCTTGCGGGCGCAGGGCCGGGTGCAGCGTGGCCAGGCGGGAAGCGGCGGCGCCGCCGGGGGCACCTGTGTGGGGGGCAGCAAGGCCCGCGCCATGCACTGCAGTGCCATGCTGTGCGGTGCTGTGCCATGCCGTGCTGTGCCGGTGGCCGGGCGGCCACCGCGCGGCGCTGGCGCTGGCCCTGGCGGGGGGCCAGCCCGGCTCAGACGCTGAGGAATGCGGAGGAGCCGCGCGGGGGGCSGCGGGCGCGGGGACCGGCCGCAGCAGCGCCACGACACCCTGGTGACGGCCGCGGCGCCGGCGCTGCGCACAGCCCCCCACGGCCGCCACCGGCACCCACCTGCACCCCCTGGGCCCTGCTGCCGTGGGGCTGCCTGCGCCCCCGCAGCCTGCCCCATAGGCAGCCCCTTGCCCAGCGTCCCGCACTGAGCACCCCAGAACACAAGCAGCACCCAGCCCTGCCCACGCGCCCCGCGGCCCAGCTCTGCCATGGGGACGGACGGGCAGACGTTTGCTGGGACAAACAGAGGAAAGAAGATGGGGAGCGGGGGGAGCTCGTGCTCCCCCCAGCCCAGCCCAGCCCAGCAAGGGGGCCGGGACGAGGCAGCCGCCACCAGACCTGTGTCCCGTGTGCGGCCGGGGTCCACAGCGGCCATGGGGACCACAGCGCGGTCCCTGCGGCAGCGGCCATGGGGACCACAGCGCGGTCCCTGCGGCAGCGGCCGCGCGGGGCCAGCGTGGAGGCGGCCCAGGCACAGCCCTGTTCTATTTAAAACGTTTTTAAAAGTTTATTTAGCCATTTCCTCTTCCTGCCAAGGAGACCCGGCCCTTGAGCCGCCCCCTCCCCGGCCCCCTGGGCGCGGGCCCTGCGGCGCCCCGCAGCTCCCCGGCACAGCGCCGGGATGCCCCAGGGGACGGTGCGGCCAGCGGGAAGGGCGGGAGGCGCCGGGTGGCAGCCGGGGCCAGGGGTCCTGCAGAGCCCGCGGTGCCGAGCCAGCCGCGCCGGGCAGCCAGCTCCAGCCAGCTCGGGAGGAGCCGGTGGGAAAGGCCTCCGGCTGCTCTGAAATGGCTCCCGCGCGAGGCTGCAGTCCCACAGGCCGGCATTCCTGGGAACGGGCCCTCCCGGGGGCCAGGGCACCAAGTGGGTCCCTCACGTCACCCGCCGTGAGGCAGCCACAGGCTCCAGCACCTCCTGGTCCTGGRAATGCCCGGAGCTGGTGCCAGGGGGATGCCCGGGGTCCCCGGGGCCAGCTGGGGTCTCCCAGTGAAAGCGGGGGTGCCCCTGGGCTGGCAGCCCCAAAGCCGCCCAGCACAGCCCAGGTCAGCGAGGGACCCGCAGTGGGGCATCAGGCGGCAGCCTCCTTCACACGCTGCCCACGTCAGCAGCGGCGCAGCGCCTCCCCCGGGCCCGTCGTGCCCGCCGCACTGCCCCTCGCCCGCGTGGCCGGGGTCCAGGAGCGCTGCCCATGGCCACCTGCGAGCAGAGCGGAGCGGAGCGGAGCCCTGGTGCGCTCAGC